AGCCTTGAGCTCCGCCAAGAAGAGGTCGGCTCCAAAGCTCTCCTCGGGAGGCCAATAACCTCTCGGGTTGATGGAAGCTCCCTGGCCGACAGGCGTCGCCTCCGATCCCCCAGGCTTTTGCCGGGCAGCTTAGAACAGCTCCTGCTGCCGGTCAAGATCATTTGTGATCTCCCGGGGCTCGTTGATGGCACCCTCCTCCTCTTCGTCCGAGGAGTCGAACATCGTGTAGTACGGGTATTCTTCCCCTCGTGGAGTGGAGACCTGGAAGCCATGCGCTTCTTAGCGTGCTTGCCTCTGTGGCTGCGGTTTTAGCAGCCTGAGCATGCTCAAGGCCCTCGGCGAGCGAGAAGTTCTATCACAAGAGGGAGACAGAGTCACAAACTCTCATTCTCCGTGTCGAAAGGGTTCGACAAGCTGCGGGGACGCGGCTGTGGCTCATTTCACAGTTTAAGCCTTGAGCAAAAACGCTCGTCTTCTCGGTCTCCACCTTGACAACATAATGCCTCACGGTACTGCGAAGAGCGGTGCGAAAGCACCCGCCAAGACTGCTGCCCGAAAGGCTCACGCCAAGAGCTGTAAGCGTCATAGCAAAGTCTCGGTACTCGGGAGGCTACTAAGGTAGCCCCCGAGGCGGTTGATGCCTCGGGCGAGCAAGCGGCAAAGCTCGCGGTCACCCTCAATGTCCCCAGACGACAGTCCAAACTCACGGTTCGCGTGCCATTAGCACAGGTCTGGTTCTGAGGACGAGGCCAAGGCCCGGAGCTTCCGCAGTGTGTCTGGGAGCTCCGTGGGAGGGCACACTCCAGTGCCCAGCGAGCACAGCGTTGACAGCCTGCACTCGCTTGCTAGTGATCACATTAATCACGAGTCACAGACGCCTGAGCGCTCTGAGACCCCTGCTGACGAGGCGAAGGGCTCACCCAATGCTGGCTGCGACGAGGGAGGCAAACCTCCGATGGTCGGTAAACCGAACCTAAGTGGAGGAGAATGTAACGAAGTACGAACCTCAGTGTACCCAAGTTACATGAAGAGTGACCTGTCACTCTTGTAATACCTGGTACATGGTACCAGGGGCTCTAGGAGCCAATCATTGCATATCTACATAGCTTTACTATAGATGACTTACAGTTTGTATTAGAAACCAAGCTAAGCTTACCTATAAATACAATCAGTCTTAAACATACCCTTAATTGAGTACTTCGTCCCCACAGACCAGGGACACGTGAACTGCCGTTCACTTAGAGTTTGTATACTCTTGGAAGCCTACTTCCTCAGCGCAAGTTGCTGTGTGACCCCGTCACACTTGGTAGCACTTGTAGTCAATCCACG